GACCTAGACAAATTGGAGGGTTGGGCCAAAAGAAATCTTATGAGGTACAACAAGGACAAGTGCAAAGTCCTACACTTAGGAAGGAACAATACCATGCACCAGTGCAGGCTGGGGCTGACTGGCTGGTCAGCAGCTCTGCAGAAAAAGATTTGGGGGTTACAGTGGACAATAAGCTGAATATAAGCAAACAGTGTGCCCTTGTTGCAAAGAAGGCTAATGGCGTACTGGACTGCACTGTTAGGTGTGTTGCCAGTAGGTCAAGGGAAGTGATTATTCCCCTCTATTTAGCACTGGTGAGGACACATCTGGTATACTGTGTTCAATTTTTGCCCCCCCCTTACAGAAAGGATGTGGACAAGTTGGAGAGAGTCTAGCAGAGGGCAACAAAAATGGTGAGGGGACTGAGGGACATGACTTATGAGAAGAAGCTGAAGGAACTGGGCTTATTTAATCTAGAGAAGAGAAGACTGAGAGGGGATTTAATAGCAGCTTTCAGCTATCTGAAGGGAGGTTCAAAAGAGGATGGAGCTAGACTGTTCCACTTTGACTTCCATCTGCCTGCCGAATGACAGGAGGCTGCTGCTGCTGCCTAGGACTGGTGCTGGAATATTGGTGCTGCTACTGGCCCCAGCCGGCAGGAGCAGCCTCCTGTGATCCGACAGGCAGATTGGGGGCCCGCACCCCTGGGAGGGCTGTGGTTCTCTGCCAGCCTCCTCCCAGGGGTGCAGGCAAGCCGCTGATCTGCCTGCTGGATCAGAGGAGGCTGCTGCTGCCAGCTGGAACTGACGCTGGGCACAGCCCGCACCCAGCACTTGGAAGATTGGTGCTGCCGCTGGCCCCAGCTGGCAGCAACAGTGTGTTGTCATTCGACACGCAGGTCTGGGGGCCCGCACTCCTGAGAGGGCTGGGGGATGTGCCAAAATCCTCCCAGGTGGCGCAGACCCTGGATCTGCGCCAGATGACAGGAGGCTGCTGCAGCTAGGACCAGGGCTGAAGCCAAGCCTGGCTTTGAAACTCAAAATGTTTCAAAACTTTCAAAATGTTTTGAGGGCCTTTGTTTTGTTTCAAAGCTATTTTGAAGGCTTTTGCTTCATTTTGATTTTGCTGTTTCAAGCTCAAAACAAATTGAAACAGCTTTGAAATGAAACACCTGGCAAAATTTCACACAGCCCTAATGTATGTACATGTCCTTGGAAACATTTCCAAAAGTAGTTGAAGCCTTCCAAAATATTTTCTCTTTAAATGAGGTGCTGTTTTGAAGTGTTGAAGTTTTTGTTGTTTATGCACGGAGGAGAGAAGGAGAGCAGGCTGGACAGTCTGCAGTTTGTTAGTCAGCTGCTGCATTTCACTCTCTGGACCTGGCTGCTTCAGTACTCCCATCCTGCTTTTCAGCCCCAGTCCCCTCTACCTCTCCACTCCCTGGAGAAGATGATGGAATTGTGGCTGGAGAGACAGAATTGTGGTACATGAATGAATTTCACTTGGAAGCCTTCCAAAAGTTATTTTGATGTGCACTCTTAAAGTGCAATTGCTCTGTCTTGACTGGTGTGTTAAAGGATTTTAATTAGATCCAGGCAGCAGATCTAACAAGATCCATTTTATAGCCTGGATTTTTGTCTGTGTGACAGCGTTCATGGGTGTAAGGTATATATGTAAATGGTAGTCAAAGCAGTGCAAAAACCCTAGGTTGAAATTTGGGTTTTGGGGGGTTTTGTTGTTGTTGTTTGTTTTTGGTATAGTTTAAATCAACTGTCTAGGTCAGTGAATCTCAACCAGGGGCCACAATGAGATAAACCCTGATATTTTAAATAGGACTCCACAGTGTTGAAAGCATTCAGACTTGTCATACTCTCTGAGGGTGCAGACAGAAGTGCAGCTCCCCAGTCTAACTCATGGCACTTCACAGGAAGCACCATCAGTTAGACAACCTTCACAAACCAAGAGATGTTAGTTGTTGGGTCAGGGGGGTGGGGGATCAAACTCCAATTTCAAGCCAATCCAAGAAGAGAGGCTGCATCTCTGCAGCCTCTTCCTCTAGCCCCTCCCTGCGCCCCAGCCCCCTGGTACTGTCTCAGGATGGAAGAAGAAGGAGAAGGCAGGGGAGGGAGCTCTGTTTGGGGATTTCCCCAGCCTGCTCTGGATTGGGGGGGAAGGGGGTTGGAGGCCCCACACCATGGGAGGGGGCTCCAATCCTCTCACCCCACCCTCCAGTGCCAGCTGGGCAACCCCCAGACTGAGATCCCTCTTTACCTCCCCATTCTTCCTCCTATTCTAAAAAAATACCCCACTTGGAACAGGGCTGGGCTGTATCAGCCAAGCTCTGCTCCTGCCATGTGCAGAAGCAAATACTGAAGATGTCCCACTTTGGAGTACCTTTACCTGAATCCTCATGTAATAAGTGTTCATATTGTTGCGGGATCAGGAACTTTTAAAGCACTCTGCAACCATGCTCTTATGTTAGGTTAAGACTGTAGGGCACTTTCAGGGACCAGATCAGGTAAAAATTTTCACTTCTGTCTGTGTCCTGAGTTCTCTGCAACAGAAAAAACATATTCTATTGCTTTTTTTGTAGTTAAAAAACAAGTGAAAACTAAGAGCTGGTATTTTCCAAAGGGAGCCTTGAGTCTAACGAGGGGTGCCTCAAGTTTAACAAGGTTGAGCACCACAGGTCTAGGTTTAAGTTAAACCTAAGTAATTATATCTAACTGGGGAATGTATTTTAAGCTATGTTGCTTTAAAAACTGATATAAGTCCTAAATAGATAGGATTCAAAAAGAGAATATGGCAAAAGAAGGAAAAAAGCTGAGAGGAGATAGTTTTACATCTCCTCCCAGTGAGGCAAAAAGTGCTTAAGAGAAACTGAAGACCTGGTCCCCAAGATTTGAGTATGAGACATTTTGGAACTTAAAACTGTTTTTTTTCTGTTTCAACCCAGCTTCTTTCCAAGAACAATGTGGCTGCACTGATTTAAGATAATTAATTGGCTAATTAGGGCCATAAGCTGTATAAAATTTGCCATGTTACATAACACATTATTTTTAAAGCTACCTGCTGACTCATTAATATAAGGTTGTTAGCCTTTTTTCAGCTTAAGTGCCATTTTTGGCTTCATTTGTTTCATAGTATAAGCACCTCTTGCAATTAATTAATAAAATAGATTAATTCCCTGGTAACCGCAATATGACTACAGCCTCAGAAGAAAAAAGAAAAGGAGAAATTTAATACAGAAATTATTTTAAATGTCTACCAGTGTCTGTAGAAGAATGGGCTGGCATATAAGTATTGGAAAAATTGACCTGACTTTGGAATTGCAATTGTCAGGTGAAACTGTTCATGTTTGGTACATAGTTTCATAGTAAGTAGGGTCGGAAGGGACCTGAACAGATCATCAAGTCTGACCCCCTGCCATGGCAGGAAAGAGTACTG